CACCTACCATCTTTGTATTTGTCTCGGTCATCACACTATATTGAGCACATGTATTTTCGCTTTTTCAGTTTCTTTGATTGATTCTGTCTGAATAGATTGGTCCATCTTTCAGAAATCTTGTTGACAGCAGAGCTGGAGTCTACTTAAATAGAAAGATATAAGAAAATAACAAGCGCATATTGAGCATGGACAGTGTGATATGATAGCACCAATTATTAGAATATAAAATTCACGAGCATTTGGAAATTTAAAGTATATGGCCGGGTACTCGTGGTATTTTCTGCGCATGAGTAATGAGTCGACAAAAGATAGCAAATCACAAATAGAATATATACAAAACTTAGCTCACCAAATCTCAGATCACCGTTGTATTCAAAACAAATATTCCATGAGGAGTGTTACATCTTATTCTATATTAATCTATGCGCCTAACTGAAATAAAATTGCAAGTGTAGAATCGTCACGATTTCTTCGGTGAATTTTCCGTCGACCTTTCCTTTTTCAAACAACGTTCCTCTAATCTAGTCTAGTTTCTAATTTAATTTCTGTAAACAAGATAAAAAATTTGCACGTAGAAGAAATCTGGCTCGATGTTGGCTACAAAATAAAGAAACTTAAAAATTATAGAAGCCACGAAACGTAGCAAACCAACACTAACTTTATATTTAACTCTGTTCATATTGCATCTTCGCATTGTAACAGCACATGATTCTTTTATTAGACAAGGAAGGTACACTACCTGAAACAATAGGTACATTGCGGTCAGACTGCCTGCTACTGACATTAAAGCGCAAATTCTCCATCAAACGACTTTCGCGGAACTAATAATGACAACAGGTTTAGCAATTCTGCTGACATGATTGCATCGTTTACGTTTAGCAGGCTTTTGAGTAAACAAATAATAAAATTAAACTTACGTTTTGGTTGAAATCGATGTAACTGCATGCTCGCTATCAGACATAGAAGCCTTTAATTACAATTTACAACACGAGGTTTGGACTACCCTAATTACCTTTTTGAACGCATTTTGTGTAATCGGCAATATGCTGACCACATGAACCAATCTCAACGTGTAATACCATATTTAAACTACGTGTAATACCATATTTAAACTAACAACCCAATCATCACATGATTGCATTGTTTACATTTAGCAGGCTTTTGAGTAAACAAATAATAAAATTAAACTTACGTTTTGGTTGAAATCGGTGTAACTGCATGCTCGCTATCAGATATAGAAGCCTTTAATTACAATTTACAACACGAGGTTTGGACTACCCTAATTACCTTTTTGAACGCATTTTGTGTAACCGGCAATATGCTGACCACATGAACCAATCTTAACGTGTAACCATATTTAAGTTAACAACCCAATCATAAACACAACTCACTCGGTGTGCTCTATTTTCTTTGTCTTTTTTTATCCCCCTTTTTATGAAGAGCAAGCAAGAGGTCGTCATTGGGTTTGCATGGTATTGAAGTATAAGCTTCATTATATATACTATAAATCTAGTTGACTAGTAACCTAACTGTTGAAAGACAACTGAAAAAAGGTCGCAAATTGACAGATTTTATTATTTATTGGAATTAATTAACAAGTTCAAATACTTGGAATAACAAATTAAAAAAGAAAAATTATAAACACAACTTACTCGCTTATATTTTTTTCATCTGCCTCCTTTTTCCTTCCTTCCCCTTTTTCGCAATAAGTCAGCCAGAGTTCAGCGTGTTTGGTTGCATATTATTGCATAAACTTCACATAGTATAAATCTAGAGCCTATAAGCCCTATATGAACATAAAAGTATCCTAACTGTGAAAAGATAACTGAAAAAAAAGTTGCTCGATGCAAGCTAATGCACGGAATAATTTCATCTCGGACTCACTGGAGGTACAAAATTTCACCCATCTTTGTATTTGTCTCAGTCATCACGCTATATTGAGCACCACTGGAGGTACAAAATTTCACCCATCTTTGTATTTGTCTCAGTCATCACGCTATATTGAGCACATGTATTTTCGCATTTTCCGTTTCTTTCATTGATTCTGTCTGAATAGATTGGTCCATCTTCCTGAAATCTTGTTGACATCAGAGCTGGAGTCTACATGAATAGAAAGATATAAGAAAATAATAAGCGCATATTGAGCCTGGACAGTGTGATATGATAGCACCAATTATTAGAATATAAAATTCACGAGCATTTGGAAATTTAAAGTATATGGCCGGGTACTCGTGGTATTTTTTGCGCATGAGTAATGAGTCGACAAAAGCTAGCAAATCACAAATAGAATATATACAAAACTTAGCTCACCAAATCTCAAATCATCGTTGTATTCAAAACAAACATTCCATGAGGAGTGTTACATCTTTTATTCTATATTAATCTATGCGCCTAATTGAAATAAAACAAACTGCAAATGTAGAATCGTCACGATTTCTTCGGTGACTTTTCCGTCGACATTTTCTTTTTCAAACAATGTTCCTCTAATTTAGTCTGGTTTCTAATTTAATTTCTATAAAGAAAGCTAAAAAAATTGCACGGAGAAGAAATCTGGCTCGATAATGGTTAAAAATAAAAAAAACTTAAAAATTATAGAAGCCACGAAACGTAGCAAACCAACACATACCATATTCAACTATGGTATGGTTTAGCTGTTCTGCTGACATAATTGCATTGTTTACATTTAGCAGGCTTTTGAGTAAACAAATAATAAAATTAAACTTACTTTTTGGTTGAAACCGATGTAACTGCATGCTCGCTATCAGATATAGAAGCCTTTAATCACAATTTACAACATTGAGGTCCTTTTTGAACACATTTTGTGTAACCGGCAATATGCAGACCACATGAACCAATCTTAACGTGTGACTTGGTAATTTTGAGATTAAGTTTTGACGCACCCTATACATCTGTCTGTAGGTTTCTAAGTATATATATATATCTTATTGTTTGGTAATCGAAAATCACGTGGCTAAAAATCAAAATATAATAGGTAATAACTAGTGGAAACAAAAAAAACCCTACTTACCCGGCCGCGTCAAATTCGAAAAGACCACGCGGCCACACCAATTTTTCAATGAGGCGAGATAAGGGATAATAAAGAAACAAACAACGAATGAAAATTGGTATCATGGCGAACAATGATTGGTTGACAAGATCTCACGTGTCCCAATGTCGATACAGGCGAGCGCTTCCATTTCTGAGTGCGAATATAAAAAAGCACTCTATTAGTTTAAAATCCCATTTTTTTGCAGAGACGAAATAGCAAATGACAAGTATTGAAGCTTTATCAAAAACGATACCCTCAACTCAACCAATGCACAATTCCAGATTATCAAATTGTACTCTCTATATAAAATTTTATATTAAAAATTACTTAATTACCCCAGATATACTATCGGCTAAAGAACTTCTCTACTTTACTTCTTTACTGATGAGACCCTTTATAGAATATAGCATTTTACAACGAAGTTAGAAGTAGAAATGGACTTCCTTCGTATTACACATACAATGATGGCCTAGCTACCTTTAATTCTTTTTCCGTGGTGCCTGGTGCAGTTCTTTATCAAACTATTCTGTATAAATAAGAGATCGTTGTGGCCGTCGTCCGAAACAAGCATCCTATGAAATTGAAACAGCACAATAAAACTAGTCACCATTAGGGTCTGGGTTAGATGAGACAGGTCACGAGATAAAATAAGATATCTATTCTATATTTGAAAAAATGCTTTCCTTACTTTTAAAAAAATATACATATCTAATTTGATTAAGTTAAAAAAAAATATATGAGACTGTTTGCTCTTAGTATTTTATCCACGAGAGAAGCTTTCGATAGAGAATATCTTTCTCCAAATTTGAGGCGGTGCAGATTCAAAGGTAAACTTTGCTTCTTGCAGAACCAGTGATGGGATTCGTTCTTTGGATATCGTGCTAATCAGCGAAACAGTTTATATCTTTTTTTCAAACGTTAGATTATCGCAGCAACGTGTGCCATAGCGGACGGCTAGTGTTATATTGGCTTGGCTTTGCGAAAGTTGCTTTAAATGTGTAAACATGAAGTTTCAGTTGTAATCTCATGTCAAGCTTTTGTATTGTTATACAGCTAAAAGCTAAGTATAGTTTTATTAAATAATGAAACCTATTTTTAGTGAGTTTGATGAGAAAGAGAACACATTCCTAAGTTTAAATCTCATTGCTGGCAGAGACCACTTGTACACAGTAGTGTTGGTTGCCTTGATTTAAAGCGCTCCTCAATATTCAAAAAGGATACCATGGCGGTACATAGCACTGGAAAGATCGAGAGCAACTGTACTAATCCAGGTTTTTCCAAACTTTTTGGGCCGCTGACCCCTATTTATGAATCTTAGTTTGGACGGATTCCCTCTCTTCTCCGTATCAATTTATGTGCCTAACCAACGAGAAAGGATAATGTATATTTACAACACAAACGACACTAATGTGATGGATGAGGTTGCTTTTCACTGCACAACTTATCAATTCTCTGAGCGATTTGTTACAAGCAAACTAGACTCTACGCCAAGTCTCGATCTGTATTTTGTCATCCTATTGGTAAAAGCTGAGAATAAATAAATGAAATTTCCTCCATGACAGCCAAGGATGTTCGTCCGCAACACTCAACAAAAAAGATGCAATGGCTTTTTGATTGAAATCAATCATTAAAGATCGATCAGACTCTTCTTTCGCTGCGGACCCCCAGTGCAGTCACGACGGGCCCACGGGCCCTGCACTAATTCATTACACTTACTATGCACTAGTTTGTCAGTGACCCGACAACTCTTATAACGAGCACCCGTACTATTTTAATGTATTCCGACATCTCTAGAAAAAGGCGTCTTGCGCGGCTGAATACAGTTATTCCACGTCTCTACTGCACATTCCAGGCTACTATACCTGCCTGGTTTATTTTTATTTGATGCCTGACCCCACATGCCACTTGTTCCGGTGCTTGTTCTGATTTATATCTAATCCATACCAAAATAAAAATTAAGATTTTTAATGATCTACCACGAATTCCCAAATTAATTATAATGTACAAAAAGGCAATTATGAAAAAAAGAAAGAAAAACGCACACGCGATTTAGCACCATGATCAAAACAAAAAATATGACACTTGAATACAACTATCTACCAAAAAACGTTAAATCGTCCCACCTCGGCCAAGTATAAGCTGGGCATAAAGAGCACAAAAGTGTCATCTGCATATACTTGGCCGAGCCAAATTGTACCATACGCCGCGAAGTGCAGTAATTAAGTTACACCAAGTTATGCTGGAATATATACATTACTAAGAAAAAAAGTTCCGATCTTGATACGGTACAGAAACAAACACTCGATATATACAGCTCGTAAAATAAGAATCAGCTCATACTAGATTACGCTTGGCCACAGATGCGAATATTAAAGAATTACAATCGGCCAGGCCAGACCTATTTACAAGTTAAAATTATATACAAGAAAAATACAAAAAATAATTGAACAAAAATTTAGATCGTCTTTGCTGCCAAATATAAAACAATACGGTGCGACTTTAGAATTGAAGAAGTTGGAGGAAACATATAAATCAAAATTATATTAAGAACTCGTGTTAGTAACAGTCAAAACTAATGTTAGAATGCGAAATTGACAAAACAGTACTTCTAGGAAAATACTTGATCCATTCAAACGGTATAGCATATAGGCAAGGTCCTTTCTCGACTTGAATTCCTATGAGGTAAAAGAATCTTAGTCCTAAAAGCGAACGGTCATTACTAGTGGTGGCTAAAGAAATATCAATTTGCATTGTTGTAAATCGTTGTCTACGAAACGGAGGGGTTCATATGCCAGTACCAAATACATAGAACCAAGTGTGGCAAAACATTTTCAAATCTATAAATATTTCATTTAATCAAAATTCGATTTTAATAAACAAACATAAGCACAACGGCACTGAATAAAAAAAAGCACAATTTTCGGTGAAAAATATAGAATTAAATCTCGGAACTTCAAATTTGAAACATAATCAAAAATAAATTAATCAATTGCTTAATCGTTTATAATTTGATAGTTTAGTGGTCAAAACATTTTCAATTTAAATAACACAATAAAAAGAATGACGACTAGTCATAGTCTTTTAAAGTCTCAAGCAAGGTTGGACCATTACTTGTATAATGCTAAATATTAGCTACACTGTGGACGATGAAGAATCTCAAGTCAGGTTATACCGAGACTTGTAATGCTAAATATTAGCTACTGTGTGGACCATGCTGTCCGCTGGCGGCGGCTGATCCGTGATGATAGTTGGGAAGCGACATTTGGAGTGATACAGGGTTCATGTTTGGGCCCTCTACTTGTCTCTCAGTTTGATTTTGATCAGAGCAGAAGTTGTCGACGACATTCCCAGTTCTTTGTGGCGGCGGAAACATTAGAGTAGAAATAAACTGCTGCGGCGGAAAATGAATTTCGCCTACTCCGCCAGTTAGCGCCCTAGAGGACACAACAACATGCCCTTCGAGTTGATGAGCCACAGAAACGTTCCCCATCTCTCGAGACGCTATTGTGCGGCGAAGTTGGTCGAGTGTCATCGCTGTTGTGGGTGACAGAAGAGGACCGGTGGTATTAGATCGCTGAGCAATATCTTCTCCTCCCCTTTTCGATGGGAGTGGAATTCCCAGAGCGGCCAACGTTTCAGCAACGGCAGAATTATTAGCCGCAACTTGCCCTTGTACATCGCGTGGATGCATGCTCGCAAGTGCTGCCTGCGTTGATTGTTGTAAATAACTCGGAATACTTTGCACTTGATTTAATATATTCGGAGGTATTCCGCCGACACCGTTTACCATTTGTGGTCGAGGACCTTGCCAGCGCATGGGCCCGTTAGAACTCACAGCCTGTAAGACGGCCAAAGGTATGCTTGGTGCTTGTGGAAAGGTATGACGAATTTGAGCCTGCGTTGGAACTTGAGGAGGTTGTGGTTGTTGCCATTGTATGTTCTGAGCGAAAAAGTGATCTTTCCTATCCTTCACCGTGACTCGTTTTCGATCAGGACCTAAATTTGAGAGAAATGTTCGATTGATTAAAGGTGTTGAAAAATTTCACATATCCGAAGTGCTATGATGGTAGAGTACATCCCATCTTCGTATTAAGATTAGATTCGTTCAAGAACTAAAAGTATTCAAGGAGAGCATTTTTCGAATTTCGTTTTACAAAATTAGTGCATCTTCAGTAAAATTATAACTTCACAATGTAATCTCGATCACAAATTTTCTTGCCCAATGAAATGGTAGCATGTAATGCTACCCTATTGATTGAGCATTTATACTTGGATCATATACTTAAACAGCATATTTAACCCTCTCAGCATATTATACCTTCTTTGCCGTAGGATGACGAATTTCGCTTTCGAGCATTGGTCGGTCTTTGCGGTGTCGCATTCAGGTTGCGTTCGCCATTCTGTCTGATCTCTGTGGCGTCATCTGCAGGTACGTTTGGCGAGGAGTTTCCATCGACACTTCTCATTTCTTCTAACCTTTCTCTGGCCGTTTTCTTGACCCGTGCGCCCATGTAACATTTTCTCAGCTGTGTAACTGTAATAAGTTGAAAATAAATTTAATTCTCAGTACGCGTTTACCTTGCGGTGGCTAAAATCAAAATCAAATACTTCATATCTCGGTAAACACAGACACAACTTTTATGCAACGCCAACGCTATTCGTGCAGAGGGTTCCCAGAAAAATATCACTCGACACAGAGTCATTTAGAACCATAAAGCTAAAAATCATATTTTAGAATAACAAAAAAATTCACTACAAAAAAGTTTTCCAGCTTTCTGTTTCAACTGGAAATTATTATGATGAAAATTGTGACTACCATGTTGCGGAAGTTTAAAATTTAAAATTTTGACCCTACATTGCTTAAATATTATCGATGGAAAGCAAGTATGATTCAATTGAGAACAAGAATAAAATTGATTTTTTAATATTACGGTTACAATTATTATTTTCTTTATTGAAACGAAGTTAAAACTCCTCCGTCATTGGGTTAGGCATTCCGTAGGTAAATAATATGTTCACGTAAGGAGATCCATTTGAAAAACATCGTCACGGATTCGGAATATACTGTCTGTCGCACAACAATATAACGCAAACTTTTAAACTATCATTTGTCAACGTTCCCTCACGAATGACGCACACGATTTGTTGACAATTCAATCGGAACCAACAATGCGAGATAATCGACGGATAGATAAAATCGGTAGGTATAAAAACTGGAGCCAAAGTCAAGGTTATGTGGGACTCTTGACGGTAATTTTCAAATACGTCATCCGGATTCTTGTAAGGTATAAATGGATATACGGTTACCTCAAAACAATTTTAACCTTTGACTACTTGAAATTGATCACTATATATTTTACGTCTACAATGATCTGCGTAATAATCTAAATAAAGCTGGCACATTCGAAGCATAATTGACACAAAATATTAATTGTTGTCGTGATAAGCAACTGACGTACACTAATAGGTCCGCAATGTATGGACAGAAACATAGTGTTCTTGTCGCCTAAACGGCAAATCTATGGAATCGAAAACACCTGAAATCGCGCCACATTACGATATATTATAATTTAGATAAGCCCAAGATATATGTCCAATATTAAGGATAACATAAAATGCTAATTCCAGTAACATACAATTTTTACTAAAAATTACTTGTGTATTCTAATAGATCAAAGTCAATATACATTACGAACTTAAGTTTGATCGGGCATGAGTGTTGAAAAATCTCTTTTCGTATGTACGGTACATGCCTGACAAGTACATAGCATGTTCTTTTACGACTACCCAAAGCACATTTGTCTTCTTTAGCGTCTGATAGAAATACCGTTGACGAGAGCGAGCAAGGAAAAAAGGGGATCGAAACTACAAAGTTACAAAAAAGAAAGACTTATGAAACCCATGCCACAAAACCAACCCTCGATGAATCCAATCCACCGTAAACAACAAAGTAAAATAAGAGTATTATTCTCATTTAAGTACAAAATAACATCATATATTCCTGCTAGTATTTCTAATAAATACGTCTGTAAAATTTACTACTTCATTTATAGGTTTGTTTGCCTCTCAGGCAGCGTTGTTTGGTTTGCCTGTTACTTTTTGATTAGATTTATGCCAGAAGCAAAGTATACCCTTGGTCGAAATAACATCATAGATCTTCCACCTGATATTTCTAATAAATACACGTCTGTAAAATTTACTAAACACTAGTTCATTTTATAGGTTTGTTTGCCTCTCAGGCAGCGTTGTTTGGTTCGCTTGTTACTTTTTGATTAGATTTATGCCAGAAGCAAAGTATACCCTTGGTAGAAAAACTAGACCCAAAATATGTGAAGTAAACTGCTATTTGTGTGTAATTGCATTTGGTATAATATGATTAAGTTATATATTATAGGGTCAAACTACATGCAAAAATGGGAAACAAAGCGTAATAGAAAATAAGCTATTCATAATCTTATTCATATTTAGTTGCTTGCCCTTATCCGGCTTCTGAGCGACGTATCGGGAACGCAGTACAGACTAAAAACAAACACCTGGGGGAAATCGTAACGAGGTCTGAAAATTTCAGGATAATTGTTCGGTACCAGTTTGCATTGTGTCAAAGCCTGTCTCAAAGGTTCACAAGTAACCAACGGAAGCTCGGTAGAACAGACAAGTAATACCTACCATCAGAAAATGATCGACCAATGACTTAATGCTGGTGTCTCGATAACAATAAGAGATCTGGGTGAGACTACCCACCTCCGAAGAAGTTATGTTTATTCAACAATCACCCTTAGTTTATTCATGCTTGAATACCGTAGAATCAGATTGACTGCGCCCAGTATTTTAATGAGTGATTGTGCATTAAGCGGAGCTGAACTGTATATTATAAAGGTTATGCGCCTTTGGATATAGTGAATAAGGAGAGCCTAATTAGCTCTTCTATTATATATTATTAAATTGGATTTGCAAATATTATATGAATTTGACGTCTTTGTCTAAAGTTTAGACAAAGACCAACATCCAACGTAAGTACACTCGATAAGTTCCCGAGTACTCGAATCATATCGCAGTGTACTGCGGTAGCACTAACTGCTTCTCCGCATAAGGTAATGAATTAACCCACAAGTGGAAGAGGCTTTGGTATGAATTCAATACTTTACAGAACATCTCGGGTTATCGCTACTAATATGAAAATTAGCAGTTTGGGAAGGATGTCGTCTTTTGTGTAAAGACACACCTCCTACGTTCTTTCTTTTACATTTTGAGTCTCTCTCGTTTATAACCCCAAACATGTTTAAAAATTTATATTTCGAATTTATAGTAGGTAGTGTGGCAGTGAAACAGATTAGGTAAATAGAATCAAAAGTCGCGGTAACGCATATCACTCCACCAGAACTTGTAATATTGAAGTTATTGCAGATAGGATACATTCCTAAAAATTCAATAAAACAGTGAAAAGCAATTTAATTGCCTACAGTTGAAACACTATCGATGAAATTTTGACAAAACAATACCGCCAAGTTGATATATCGCGATTGACATTAACATTGCGTGATGTGGCAACATATTTTGAGCCAGCGTCATGGGTGCAAAGGTGATGTTCGACATGTCATAGAATTTATCATTTGTAGTTCAATAAAAGAAAGAGTTCTTGGCTCTGTTGCCAGAATATCTATCAACTAATTTTCAAATTGCTTGTGCTTGTAATTACCAGCTTTCAATTACCAGAGCCTATTGCAGCATTGATTCATTTGAATATTTTTTATCGAGTCTAAGAGCGCGTTCAAAACTCTGGCACTTGGTATTTATAAATATATAAATTTCAGACAAGATGCCGGTAAAAATAGAAACTACAGTCGAGAAGAAGATCATTTCTGCTTCGTCACAATGCAATTTTCAATAGAGTCTGTTTTGGCATTATTGCAACACGAAAAGCGTGTAGCGGGTCGTGGTTCGCACGGATGACTACCAGCAGGGCTATCTCGCAGCGGCAATGAACGAGCAGGTTCAATCAAGGTCGCTGTCGCGTTGGAATCGAAATAACAAACGCGAATTGACAGTTATATATTGCATGTATGTACACAAGAATGACTCATTAGCCCAGCTGACTAAATACAAATTAAAATCAAGAGAACGATTTGTATGGGTTATAAATTCAGTTTTGATAAACTTGGCAGTTAGACCAAGGTACGGAATTATATTTAACAGCTCTTCAAATTTCTATTTATTTTACGTCGAAAGCTGTGCATAAGACGACTTAACAGGCAACTGGACGATAATTCTCAACGATAGTGCATAGGTTAGTACAGAGTGATTAGCTGAATGTGTGTTTAATGATAGAAAGTTCCTACCAATCATGTAGGATAACAGCTTTGGAATAAAAGTACAGATCTTTTACCAGGACTAAAATGGGTGAACTTTTGACCTAATTAGGTGCGATAGATTAGGCAGTTTCAATTCCACGAGCTGTCAAAATGATATATACCAAATGAGATTCATGCCAGAGGAATATGTTTGATTGAATTATTTTGCACCGGATAGAAAAAATATTTTAAATCAAAGTAGGCACACCTCCATTTTGTTCCACCAACGACACAAGCTGGTGTCTCTGTGACAATGTAATATCCGGAGCTCATCGCTTATTTCCAAGTAAAATCCGAATGAATATTTTGTTTATAACATTAAACCGGTTGCATTAAAAATTTACCTGTTTTATGCAAATTTAATTCGATAACTAAATGTTAATTGTATATTATATATCTGTATTGAAGATGATTAATTAATATACTGGTTGTATTGAAAACTGAATAAGCGGACTGCTGCAATGACACACCCCGGATACAGTTGGAAAAGAAACGAAACTGGATGAGTTTCCATGCGGAAACAACTATAGTCATATTTCTCCATATCAGTAAAATGGCGGGGAGGCAAACGACAGTTGAAAGATTGTGAACGTTGCAAATCGGTCATTTGAAATCGGTAAGTGTATTTTTTTGTAGTAGATATTATCTTTTTTAAAAGTTAGGTACTACCATATTACTGCCTCATCACTAACTAAGATTATTGCTAATGCCCCAACTATCTCTCCTAACCTACCTAACTTATCCTAACGAGGTAGGTTTTTAGGCTAGCCTAATATGAACAGAATCAAATACAGTAAAACAGATAAGAAAATTAGTGGCTGACAAAAATAGGATAGTATCGAAAATTATTTATAGATTAAGAAAATGTATTGAAAAAATATAAAAAATAAATATATCTCGATATAAATGATGTAATATTTGAGAATAGGACAGAGTGAAGACCCTTTTCCCAATCAATTGCAAACACAGGTTTCATGCGCCATCCCCTAATGTAAGTTGAGCATAATAATTTTAAATGGGTTCAGGCCCCTAAATCATCTAAAAAATATGTGGTTATTGGTTACTGAGATAATTTCTCCCTTTTTGGACCATTATGGAACTTTTTTTAAAAGAGTGTAGTAAAAATAATTGCATTTTGTTCAACTGTCACTGGCTCCTATTTAAATTTTTAGCATTTTTTTCTAAA